CCTAAACTTTATTTTTACATTTATGCCATCTAAATCTTTCATATTAGATAAAAATATCACTATTTTAGTTAAAAAAAAAACGTTTTTTTTTACATGAACGCATAAATACAAAAGTATGAAACGCTCTTTTTCATGCTATGCTTAAATAAGTTGGCATATATCTCTAAAAATTCAAATCTAGCTGTTAGATATGTAAAAACATATAAATTGAGGGGTATGCATGTAAATCTTCCTTTGTTTTTGGCTGAAATTTAAAAATCATCAAATGGATAAAGCAACACTATGAGGAGGATTGCCATTTTTGTCCTTTTGGTAGACCTTTTTTTTTTCAATAATTAAGACAAATATTTTGGACTTTTTTGGCATTTTTAGTGCTTTTTTATTGTCAATTTAGGATTTTTGAATAAGCTTAACCCAATTTGGATAGTTTTGTAATTTCCAAAATATGAATTTATGCCTACCAAATAAATTTAATTTTTTTATTTAATGACTTGAATTAAAAAGCTTAAGCATAACATAATTCAATTTTTATATAATTGTAGATAAATAAATTGTATGAAATAACATGAATTTTTATCCCCATGTTTGAAATTTATGATAAATTTAATTAGGAGTTGGAGCTGCATGCAGTTTTAATTCATGAAGGAGCGAAAACGTTGAAGATGTTGACGGTTTAACAAACGCAAATCTTTTTAGCGTTTAATGAAACGCAAAAAAAAATTTGCGTTTTTATTAATAATAGTAATATTATTATTATTTTTGCAGTTCATTTTCATGTTATTTAAAAGTTTAAAAATTAATATTAATTAACTGATTTTATTATGTTAAAGGGAAACGCAATTTTTGTAAGAAATTAATATTGTTTAATAGTTTAAAATTTTCATATCAATGTGATGACTACTGGTAGAAAAATTATTACATGAGTACTCTGCATGTAGAACTACTTGCAGAGTCTAATATCAAGCTGACATGTGGAAAGTCGGTCTCACCTGCATAAAAAAATGAAAATATGACTGAAAACGTGCGACACAGCCCAACTGAATATTCTCTCGCTATATTCTGAATATTTTTTGCGTTATTAATGTGTTATAGATATGTTATTAAGGAGTTGTTTATGAATAACACACAAATAACACATTAAAAATACGAAAAATATTTTCTAGCATAAATAATACTTCAATAACACACCAATAACACATGATTAACACGAAAAATATTCAGAATAATGTAAAGAGAATATTCCTATAACTCGGTCGAGCCGGGTCGCGCGTTTTAAATGTGTTATTGGTATTATAGTTTAAAAAACAGTAATGTCTCAAAATCAACTTAATAACACATGAATAACACGAAAAATATTCAGAATAACGCTGAGGGAATATTCATATAACAACGTCAGGTCGGGTCGTGCGTTTTCATTTTTTTTATTATTTTTTATAGAGGAGGTCCCCGAATTTCCTCATGTCCGCTCGAGATTGGACTCCGCAAACAGCTCTATATGCCGAGTCATGATGTAATAATTTTTCCCATTGCGAAAGGTTTGTTTGGTTTTTTATCTTTAATGATATGCTTCTAATTAAAAAAAAAATGATGTAAGCTAAAATTGATAAATCATATGAAAGTGAAATACAAAAATTAAGATTCGACATTAATTACATTTTTTTCATATAAAATTGAAATGCAAAAAAATAAAATAAAATAATAATAATAATAAATAAATAAAAACCGTCAACATTTTTAACGTTTTTTGTTCTTTAATATATTAAAATTGCATGCTCCTCCAACTCCTAATTAAATTTATTATGTTGCTCCTTCTGAAAATTTGAACTTTCTAATATTCTCTTAATATAAAATCTTTAATATGTTAATTAAAATATAAATAATATTTTTTTTAAAAAATAAATTTTAGAATCCTATAATTTGTGAATAAAAATTATCTTTAAAAACATAGATTAATTTTCATGGAGAACCAATCACATGATAAAATCTTGGAAAATTAATTTTTCAAAACAAAATAAAAATATTTTGACACAAATATTTATTATAATTAAATAATAAATTAGATTTAAATAATAAAAAAAATCATATAGTATGAGAAAGTGAGATACACGTTTAAAATACTTTTAAATTGGAATTTATTTTAAATATTTTATACATTAATCATTTTTAAAGGAGCTAATGAGTTTATGAGAAGTCAAAGTCGGCTCCATAACTCGTTGGCTTTTTGATGTCATGTTGAACACAAAATTACACCCGTAGTTGCAGAAAAAATGTTGCGTCCGAACAATGGCTGGGAACCACCGAAAGGAGAGGAGAAAAAAAAGAAAAGAAACAACCTCTGGCAGATTACAACTGTTGTCCGAACACAACTTGCGTTAGAAAAAATATTGCGTCCGAACAATGGCTGAGAATCACCGAAAGGAGAGGAGAAAAAAAAGAAAAGAAACAACATCTGGCAGATTGCAACTGTTGTCCGAACACAACTTGCATTGAGACTCTGGATGTAATACTTTTTTTCGTAGTTGTAACATATATATATATATATATATATATATATGTCTTTTAGTTGTTTAATCCATTTAGTATCTATATATATATATATATATACAAAATTGTTCAAGAAGATATAAATGCCAAGCATGTTATTAAATTAATGATGAGGCTACATTCACAAAACCAATTATAAATCAATTTTGAAAAATAATTAGTAAATATTAATTAAAAAAATAGAATATATGACTCCCGATTAATTAATGTGCAATTAATTGGCTTATAAATTCACTAAATCAATTGATGTCTCCTTGTGGTTGGCATTCGTTTTTACTCTATACAACTGTTGCCGAGTTGTTGCCCGGAGCCATTAGCTTGAGCATGGTTGAGCAAAGTCCTTTTATCTCTTTGGATCACTAAATCAATTGATGTCTCCTTGTGGTTGGCATGCGTTTCTACTCTATAACTGTTGCCGAGTTGTTGCCAGGAGCCATTAGCTCGAGCATGGTTGAGCAAAGTCCTTTTATCTCTTTGGCTGGAGATATGCAGTCTATGTGTCTTTGCAGATTAATTTTCTGCTTAATTGGTCATGAGCTATAATATATCAATTGAATAAGGCCTCTATTGGGGAAGCGCCACTACGTGTCAAATGACCCCCAAAAAAGTGTATTTCGGTCGGGTCATTTGACACATGACGCCCCGCAATTGGAGTCGGAATGCATTAGGACTCGTGAGCTAATATTTTTTCATAAAAACGAGAGGAATTTAGATACATACCACTCGATTCTCATGGATTTAATCATCTCACACCAAAACTTTCATTTTTACATGCATGGCACTGATTTCTTTGGTATCGCATCAAAAAGAGCACTAATTATCACTTTTTAACGGTTAAATCCATCTTTTCATGCATAGGTAAAGGGTTGTGAGTGTAAATATGAAAGTTTAGGTGTGAGATATGTAAATCCATAAGAATTGGGTGTCCCGCATGTTAATTTCCCTATATAAACAGATAGATCTATTGAAGGCTTCATGTCTATCATAACCAGGATTTTAGTAGAAATAATCTTGCATCCCTCAGTAGTGCGCAACAAATCCTCAGAAAAAACTTCATTGCAAGATTGGAATTTCTAATCCTTTCAATGATGATTTGTCAAAACAAAATTATCATATTTACATTGTAAGTTAAAAGCACCTAAATTTCAAAAAAATTACCTGAGTGACATCAGTTAATGTGGCATTTCAAGTTAAGGATTTCATCCGCAGTTTCCATCTTCTTAAGCTACTACTGCAAGTCAAGTCTCGCCATGGAACAGCAGCTAAAACAAATTAAACATTAACATGCCCAAGACAACGTATTCTACTATTCAGTTTCAAAATACCACAAAAAGTTTAGAGAAAACAATGTCAATCAAATCATCAGAAATAGAACAATCTACAAACATGCCACATAATTCTTATGCATTTAAATATCTAACACCTAAAGTTTGATAAAAAGGTAAATTTGGTTGTTTGCATTATTTGCCTTCTTTAGAAAGTCCATTTAAATGGTTAAAAATGGAGAAATCTATTATTACAAAGTAAATCAGCATAATCAACTTTTATTTTAAACCATCTTTTACTATAAAAAGTTGAAGTATAAGAGCAGCAACTAAACACAGACGTCCACGCAGGCCACCTTTAGCCAAGTGGTTGAGAACTTAGGCTTTTAACTGATGGGTCCTGAATTCAAGACATTACAAATGCATTGTGCGTGAGCTTGCGATTAAATTTTTGTCAAATGCATCAAAAAAAATACAAGGAAGATGTTTATCATTGCTTCAGGCTCTTCATTTTAAGAGTAAAGACGCAATCAAATGCTTAACATACATGATGCAAAACAACCATGAGCCAAAAGCTTTGCATACAAATGTCACTTATACGAGTAACTGAATTATTGTTACTACCTGATAAAAACTGGAAAAAAAAGGGAATTTACATGCATAGCACACAACTCTTTTGTATTTACGTATCTCACAACTAAACTTTCGTATTTACCAACATAGCACTTTGCTGTTTCAAACCTATGCATGAAAATGTGTATCTATCTTTTAAAAAATTATAATATTGCTATTTTCTATTGTGATATAACAGATCTGAGTGCTGTGTGTAAATATGGATGTTTAAATGTGAGATATGTAAATACATAAAAATTGTGTACTATGTATGTAAATGCCCAAAAAAACCAACTTACTTGAAGGACTAATTGCCCAGGCCCATGCAGGTTGAATAGCCCTCTATCGTCTTTAGTTGACTAGAAACTAAACAAGTCCCAAAATGAAAGCATCCAACAAGCTACCAGTCATGAGCTATCAAAATAATGAGTGTCCGTCAATATTTTTTAGAATAGCTAAAAAAGCTGACCACATTTCTATCAGTATAAGGTTGATGAATCACTATAATGGTATGACATTTCTAAATTGTATGCTCAAACTTAAAAAAAAAATTGTCAATGTCTGAAGTTAAAAATTCTCTATAGAAATCAGAATTTTAATTGATAGAAAAATATCAATAATGTTATAGCAAATCTTCCGTTCTCTAAAATACATTGCCTAAAATTTGGGACGGAGAAATCAGCTTTTGTATAAGATCAGCAAAAACTACAATTTACAAATTCCTAAAAAGATCAAATGTCAACTCTCTTCATCTATCAGCGCACCTTTGAATATCAAAAAAAAATCAACCACAATGTAAATATACAAAGCTCTGAACCTCCCACAAACTTGAAAAAGTATAAAGGAGCAAGCGATCTTTGTGGTTCAGTTCGAAATCCTTTGATGTTCCTATAGCTGGTAATAGAATAAAGTTAAACTTCCACTGTAAGTACTATGAAAAGAATACTTAAATAGCCAAAAAAAGGAAAACAAAGTACATACCAGACCCCTTGATCAAGAATAAATACATTTATGTGGGCCTCCAAAAATCTGTGGGGGTAAAATTGGCAAAACTATCACCTGAAGAGATAGAACATGAGTGTCAGAAATTGTATGACAAGCTAATAAATAGCATAATAACAAGGCAAAGCTCTACAATCAAAGCCACCTGGTAATGAAGCTCGAGATGGCGCTGAATAATGTTGGGGATGATAAAAATCAGTAGTAGTTAATCTGCAGTGTCCTGCAACAGAAACAATCATATCACTTTAGTCACCCGATATGAGGCAGAATATTCTTCTTCTAACAGCACTTTTGATAAATAGCTAGAGCAGGAAACTACTAGAGTGTTGAAATTTCTAACATTAAGGAAGACCTCATATAGTTCATCTACTTCAGCATGGTAAAAATATGCATGGCGACACATACCATCCTGTACAAAAGGTACACTTAAAGATGATGATGGTCTCCCTCCTTGGTTCCAAGCATCAGAATAACCTTGATCAGCATCACCAGGATGTGACATCCATTGCTCTTTTGCACCAAATGTTCCTTGACCAAGTAGGAAAGTTGAGGCGTGATGGAACATGGAATTTCCATGAGATAGATGGCCTGAGGGGATTTGAGAGCTTGTAAGGGAATGGTTTAGGATCTTCAGTGCTGGCAGGGAAGAATGAGGAGGCATCTGCTGGATAGTTTCACCGCATTGTTGAAATGACGAACTGGAGTAGGAAACTTGATGCAGTGATGAGTTGGCGGTGACATAGGTGGGTGTGATGAGGGAGGTGGAGGTGTAGGGGGAGGCGGTGAAGAAGGTAATGGCGGTGGAGAAGGTGGAGGATCTAAAGGAAGAAGTGGAGGAGATTCTGCCGGTAAAAGTAGGAGCCCATTATTATTACCAAATATAGATTCAAGGGCTGAGCAATGTTCCTTATGAAGTGTATAATTGTAGGTAGAAACTTCTCCTATAGATCTCTCTTCAAAAGATAATGTAAGTTCATCTTCCATCTCTATCTCATTCTCTACATGCTCCAATGTATGGTGACGTGCTTCCATTGGACGACCTTCAGAACCAGGAACGGCTTCAAAAATACCTAATTTATGTGGAGAAAGTCCTGCGGTATGATTGCATAGACTGCTCGGAAAATCTTCATCATCTTCCAAAACATGCGTAGAAAGAATTCCAGGAAACAAGAATGTTGTATTGCTGGAAGAAAGTAACCATACTCAATATATTGCTGCACTATATTCAAATTTTACAGACAAACAAAGCCATTAATAATTTCATAGTAACATACCAGATCTCCACGTTGTTTTGAAAAGAAAAAACAACAAAAATCACATGGACAAAACATTCGCCTTCAAGTTCTTAACAAAATAAGCTTTTCATGGAGAAAACAAAATGTTTCACACATGGGATTGAATATTATATAGAATGGTGGGCAAAATCTAGGTGTTTTGTAAATGTGCCTCCAAGTTGTTTCTCGTATCTTAGGCAATAGTTGTAATCTGCATGGTGAAGTATTGTTAATCTTCATGGGCTGATATGCAACATAAGTTTCTAGAGCAATATTTGTTGATTTAAGAAAAAAATAAGAATTAAACGTATCATCATTTTAAGGATTTAAACAAAGTGATTATAATGTTTTTGAATATTATAGAAGGTTCCAAAATGTTGTGGCTAAATAGCATTTATCTCTAGGTTATAATGTTTCCCTGTTTTACTACGAGAAATTAGTGATGAATTAAGCTACAATTCACCATAAACTCTATATGTGGCTTCTTATGTGGTTCTAGATGTTAAGAATATTATAACTAATTTATTATTAAGTCTATTGTACCTATGTTTACTCCAAAAAAAAAAAAACTCAATAAAATATTATCTGATGAAGAACGAGGATGATTGAGTTAGATTCTCATGAACAATTTATAGCTAATGAGTACTTAATAATATATTAAATCTGGAAGTTGATTTGCAAATACACGTGCTGTGAATAAATTTGAATATGCATCTAAAATGAATGATGTTCATGAACTTGAACCTATACTTGAATATGCATCTAAAATGAATGATACTCATGAACTTCATGTGGTGGTGAGTATCCTTATGTAGCACTGTTGAATGCCAGGTCAGTTTTTGGCATTTATTGAATATTAGGTGTTTTTTCAAAGAATAATTTTAGTAAATAATAATATGTCAGATTGATAAGCACAAATAGGAGAAAATGGAGATCATTTTTATCCAAGAATTGAAACAAGATTTCACATGACATAAAAAGAAGCAAGAACTGAAGTACAGAAAAAAACATATAATGGTAATGCCAGATTGTACAAAAATTGTAATGAAAATTTATAAATAGCAACTAATATGTACCTTCCATACTGATCTACGTGCAAGCTTTCCACTTCTCTAATGGGATCGTCCACACATTGTTCAGCACAAGTTGGAATTCTACTGGAAAACTCAGATTTCAAGCCATCACTAAGAAACTCAATTTCTTCTATGTAGTGACGAAGGATATATTCTGGCAAAATTCTCCTCTCTTGCCACAACGTCAAAACCTTTACACAACATTTTAATAATTAGAAAGAACAAACTTTAGCTACTCCTATTAATAATACAGGAAAAACCCACTTTTTGAAAATAGAAATACCTTCAGACACTGGCGTCTATTCTCCTGGGCAGAAGAACCAGAAGGAGCAGCAGCACCCAAAATGCGTGGTAAAGCTGCTTGGACAAGAGGTGCATACGATGCCTCTGCAATGCTCAGAAATTTCCAAAATACTGTTATGAGACAAACTTTTGAAGCCCTACTCTACTATGACATTGATTTATGTTTTTAGTAAAACAAAAGATTTAAATATATACAGTTTAAATCCAAAATAACCGATTGACTATTCATGCGTGACCAATTTAGCCTTAGAATAGCACACCTTTCTAATTTAGTCTATCGACTATACAGAATTTATTTAAATGACCCCTCATAGACTAAATTGGAATCAAGTCTGTATGGTCAACGGGACTAAAAATGTGTGTATTTTCAACACTCTTCGAATGGGAAAATTATAACCGTCTGGAGTGGCAGAGGCATTTTATCAGAGGGATGAAGTATGTGTGAGAAAGAAGGGTTGTATCAATGAAAGAGATTATTAGTCGAATGAAATAATTTGGTAAACTATCAAAACAGAAAATCAAGAAGATTTCGCAGAATCATTCAGAAAAGACCTAAATAAATAAGAAGCAAAATAGATATAGAACAATCATTTTTTTCGTTGAAGGTTAGCAATTGAATTCAAATTAAATAAAAAAAGGAAGTAAACCGCCATTTAATTTTGTAAGCACTCACCTTTCAACTTTTGCGAGCATTGAGTGATAGAGTCCACAAGGAAGAACAGGTCAATCCTATGAGAAAGGCTTGGTTCATCTTCCAATTTGTGTATAAGAAGTTCAACAACCTGCAAATCAGCAGATGAGCCGATGACCAAGATCCCTGATTCAGCAAATTTCAATTGGAAACTACGACTAAGAATAAAAAATAAAGTTGGCATGATTATGTATATTGCAAATATAAAGGAAAAAACACTTTACAGCGCTCCCTTACTATATCTTTGTCCACATATGCGTGAAAAAAAGTTTATCTCAGTATATTATTTGCTGCATATTCCTGGTATTTAAAATGTAGAATGAGGAGTTCAACTAGAAAAAAAAAGAATAATCCATAACCATATTTTTCTTTCGAGCAGGGCGAGCGCTTGAACACGACACCTTGGGATTCTTCATTTTGTTTACAACCAATCTTCTACCTATTCGAGGATTTCGAGCACAGTTCATAACCAGTTAACCTTAACAATTAACTGAAAAAATAGAACTAAAGAAATGTTCTAGTCACAAAAAATCTAAATTCCTTACAATACCGATTAAAATATGTTGTAGGACAGAAAAACTGACAACAAATATGAATAAGCATACAGAGTTGACCATACATAATACAAAGAGCTACTACAGGTTATGTGGAAATCATAGTTTTGATAAGAAATTAAGATTTTGGAATAAAAATAAATAAAAATTATTAAGAGAAGCACACACCTCATTTGCAATACCATATTTAGCACAGTCTATAGCATGACGAGTTGCACGTCTGATACTATCTCGAGTTCGTGATAATGTTTCTATCATTCCTTCGAAAGCCTCTCTAGCAACCTCAACTTCACTACTACCATTTGAACAATCAGTACGTAGCAAGTTTCCTTTTCTTTGATGAGAATGTGCTAGTCTTTTCTTTGCTTGAGCAGCTGCAATAAGATGTTTCATTGACATAGTAGAATTTGTCAATTTGCTATCAGCAGAATCAGCAGTAGCCTCCCTCGTAATATAAGACCTACATCAAAGAAATATTTATAAAGTTTTCCTTAGCCTGTAAGCACACTGAATGAATTACATATACCAAGAACAGCATGAGCATATATACACACCTTTGTCCTGCTAAAAGATCTTTCTCAGCCGTAAAATTAAGATGGGACCTGTTTTCAGGAACAAGTACTGAAATGTTGGATTTGGGTAAAGCACTGTATTTCTTTCTACCATGTTGCTCGAGAGCTTCGAGACTCCCCAAATTGTCAGTATAGCCAGAGCTAACTAAAGTTTTCAGTTCGTTATTGGCTGCTCTACCATTTGAAGAAGCAGATTTACACTTTTTTCTCTTAACAGAATTTGAGCTGGCAAGCAAGTCTGCAGAACGTTTCAGCACATTCGCTTCATCATTACGAAGCCTAGAAGCTGAATAGCAACTCTCCATCGACTCCATGCTACCTGTGACATTGTTGGAAGATTTATTAACTCCAGAGCTCACATTTCCAATAAAATTTTTATCCATATTTGAAAGTGAACCATTCTGAGGAAAGTTCCAACAAGATTCCGGCTGCATATCAGATTTTCTTCCAGAACCTGAACATTCTCTCAAAGTGACAGTAGTAACACGGTGAACTGGAGTTCTACGTTCTTCACCATCATCATCTTCCAGGAACCTCAAAGCTCTCCTTCTAGGAGGCAAAGGAATTAAAGAGGTACTATTGTGTTTAAAATTCATTCCAATAGTCACAATCCTGTTCTTCGTTGAGTCTTCACTGCCAGTGGATGAAGATTTTGAAACATCACCTGATCCATTGAACAATTTTATTACTCCTGACTGGTTCATGTTATCACATGGTGGTGTTGTGGATGGGATGCAATTATCAGCTCGTACAGATTCAGGCCTCACAAAGTTTAAATTCTTGTTGTTCTTTTTTCCTCCAGTTAAATGCGATGATTCACTTTTACCGGAGCTTTTGGAGATGTTAACTCTCTCATTCTTAAATAGTGAGCTTTTAGCCGAGGGTAAAACTCCATCATCACTCATCTTACGTTTAATAGCTCCAGACTGGAAGTAGTCACCTTTACGGTCTATAGAAGGCTCCAAAACTGGGTTCCCCTCAGAAGTTGCTAGTTTTCCCACTACAAGATCTTCCCTTGGTATGCACTTTTTAGTAGACTTTTTCTTGTTGCTTCCTAACACGCCAGGTTTTCCTCCATTGCTAGTATTTCCTTCCATCTTCTGAGCAACGCCAGAAAATTCTTTAGAGACAGACTCAGCTCTACCTAGACGAGTAAATGAATAACCTGCAGAACAAAGCTTCTTCATTTTATCTTGTTTTTAATGCTTTTATGCATTTTGAGAGTATTATAAACATTGATATGCAGGATAGAAAGTTCAGATGCAGTTCCTTGGTCATTTCCTTCTACCTTTGTGGGATAACTCAAACTTCAAGAAAAAACAATGCCGCATGAGAGGCCAATGAAACTCCAAACAATGTAAGGCTCTGGAGGGTTTGATGTACAACTACTAGAAAAGGAATTTTAACAAACAATATAAAGTAGACAATACATTTAAAAAACGGGGTAAGCTCACACCAATGCAAAAAAGTATATATTTCTTAAAAAAAGGAATAAATGAATGAAGAAATTAACTATTGCATCAGCACCACATGCCCTGGCTGAAGGCATTAATACGTTACAATCGAAGAATAAATTCCCCTTACAAACTCTACTTAACCTCTTCAATTGCTACCCATTAAAGCCATAAATTCTACGAAACCACTTTCCAAATTTGGCACAGACCCACATAAACTCTGCCCAGCTTCTTTACAAAACAAACGTATTAGGCTTTATGAAAGTTAACTAGTAAAATGGAGATGCATTTTTCTTCTTAAACCGAATTAAATGTAATCAATGACAAGTGCAAGTTAACGTGAAGCTCTATGAGAAACCAAATGTGGTGTCCTATGAAGAGTATTAATAGTGGTGATATCGGAGAAAGCCCAAACTAGAATAGGAATAGAAATAATATTGCTGAAATTGAAATTGGCTACAGAAACGACTCCTCAAGACATGAAATAAACGATAGTAAACATAAAAAGACACAGGGGCGGCGGCGGGGAGCTGAGCGGCCATTAGACAGCAGCTAGGATGGCGGCCCAAGGGTTGCGGCGGTATCAGATGGTTGGTGTGGGATGGTGACAGTGGCAGAAATGTTGAGACTGTAAGTATGGTAATAAGCTATAATGTGGGAGAGGGCTTTCATAGCAGCATGAGAGGTTGGGAGGGATAGTAGCAGCAGCAGGAGGCATTGGACAGCAACCCAGCTGCGACGGGGGAGGAATAGGATGAGCGGGTGATGTAAGCCTGTTGTTGGTTGAGGGGCAAGTGACGGGAGGAAGGGTAAAGGATCGATGGGAAGTTGGCGGATAGGGCAGTTGGAGATGCGGGCAAGGCAGGCTGCAAAAGGGAAGAACAGAAAAGCTGCAGTTAGTGGACAGCAGGCTGAAGGATAGTGTGGTTTGTTAGTTAGCAAATTTAGAGTTAATCTTTTTTAAATTAAGATTAATTTTCAAACGTCTGATAAAAAATTAATAGTCATTTGAAAATTGGATAGTGAAATGAACTAGGTTGAAAGATATATTGATCCAGCAGTCTAAACTTCAATTAATTACAATGAGAGGTGTTAAGTTGGGTCAAGCTCGATTCATCCTCAGCTTGAGCTTGATTAAATAATCGAGTTCGAGTCAGCTCACTAGCTGACTTGTTTAATATAAAAGAAAGAAAAAAAATTAATTTAAGTTAGTGATATAATGAAATCACAAGTTAAACGAAAAACTAAGAGAAAAATAATAATAAATCATGAGATATAAAATATTAAATATTTTTTTAAATATTTTTAATAATTTAAAGATAAAGTCATAAAAAAAATATTTTGAGATATTTTTTATTAATATATTTATATAGGAGCTGTCTCACAAGCTAACAAGTCGAATCAAGGTTGGCTTGATGTTAGTTAATCAAACTCAGCTCACGAGCCACTTATCGAGCCGATGAGTCGGACCATGAGTCAATTTGGCTCACACACATAATTACAACTTTTCAAATTTCAACTGTAAAATAATCTTAGTATTAGACCAATTGGTCAAAAAAAAAAACTAGTTCATAATTAGACAAATCAGTTATGTCCAATTTTTAACCTAGACTAGAACAAACTAGCTAAAACTAGAAAAATAAGTTTGAGTAAACCTATACAGATTTCAGGTCTCCCTTATAAAATTCAAATCAACTCGAGCAATCTTGTCATTCTGAAAAACCATAATTAATAATCTTGAATTAGAAACTCATTTATAATAAGAACTTCAGATTTTTTCTTGTGGGTGTATGTTATACAAATTGGGCAATCATGTGCATTCCTTATCAAGTTGACACTAAACTTACACCTAGTGATGAGACATGTAACAACAATTAAAATATCAAGGTCATATAAATAAACAATATTTTAAAATCCACTAAATATGGGCACATAGTTTTCATGCACGCATTCATGAATATGGTTAAACTTTACATACATTAATTTCATGATAATGATATGTAATGCAATTTCTATCTATTATAAAAAATATATGCCAAGATCTAACAAACAAAGGCTAATAATAAAAGAACTATATACAAAAAAATCTTCTCAATTTTCGTTTACCTCATCCAATCAACAACTAATTACCAGTAAATGAGCTAAAAATCTAGACAAACTAAGGAGATACTTGTATGCTTTATAATATATGATCGAAATATGGCATATTTTAGGTCCAAAAAAAATATTATGGCGTGTACTTTAGAACATATTAAGCTAATAAATTGTTTTAAAATTTAAAGAACTAATACACAATAGAAAAAATTGAATCAAAACTTGCCTTCAATACTCCAATCAATTATGAGCATGGTGCTTAATCTTGCAGCATTAGCTCATTAGAAGTAACTCCTTATTATGAAATTACTCTTAATTCTCCTTAACAAGGCTTCTTTCCTCGAGCAAAACTCTAAGTATAAGGTTCATCAACTACAAAATAAAGGAGGGTAGAAGGTTGGAGAGAAAATGGTGGTGAGAGATTGGGGATTTATTATTTTTGTAAGATTTTTTTCTCAGATCTAAATTATGAAGAGAAAGAGAGGGTTGGTTGTTTTTTAAGGCCAAATCATATATAACTGGCATCTTCAACTTTAATTTCAAAATAAATAATTCAAGATGAGATATCAATAACCACCAAAGTACTAGAATTAATTGAAGCAAAAATAGCTCGCGACCAAAACTTAAACATCCAACCTCAAAATTATTCATTCCTCTAAACATGCCACATCATGTATAAGTAGTTCGGATTTCTAAACAATACCAAAGGCAATCCAATAAGAAGTCTGCAGACCTACACCACATGTACTTATAAGCACTATTGATTAAGATCTTACATACAAACTTCTATGCATATTTCTATGTGTAATTCTAGCTTAGTTTGTTGGATTGTAATGACTCAGCTTCATATTTCGCATGGTCAAGACTAATAATCAAGGGATACCAACTAGACTTGCACAAAAGCTCGGTAACCACTAAACATTTATTACTAGGCTGACTTATGGCCGCCTTGGACAAATTTGTTGACCAACTCATCAAACTTGGTTGAACCCAATCCATTAGATGTCTTTAACACAACAAAGGGACATTAACAAACATACCATCCAATTCCTCAGTATTTACATATCTAACGTCTAAAGTTCACTTGTTACATTAATACAACCAAAATCTTTTATATCAGATAAAAAAGTGCCACTATTTTAACTTTTAAAAAGTGAAATACACCCTTTCATGCATAGGAAATGTGGCATGTATGAAAAAATTGAACTTTAGGTGTCAGATATGCAATACATAAGAATTTAGTGGTATGTATGTAAATCTTCAAAAAAAAAAAAACCAAGCTTGGACAGTATGAAGCATCACCACTGATCAACAGAAATAGTAATCCCTTATTACATAAGTAAATCTGAATCAATCAAAACTCAAAATGACTTGACAAAAGCTAGATCTAACCCCAACAATAAATCCAGCTAATAACGTCTAACCTTATGTCTGAAGATAAGAACAACCTTAGAACATTAACATTCATCCTCAATTGGTTGCATTCAACTCTTTCACATGCTATGTTCCTCACTTCCTCGTTTCCTTGCCATTATTATTACCTTTGCAGTATTATTAAGCGGCATTTACATACATACCCATCAATTCCAACGTACTTACAAATCTAACATCTAAGATTTATTTTCTATATCTATACCACTCAAGTCTTTTATATCCCATAAAAAATGCCACATTTTAAAATTTAAAAAGTGAAATCAAACTTCTCATGAAGTAAATAAAAAATTAAATTTTTGGTGTTACATATGTAAATACATAGGAATTACAGTCGATTCGTGTGCTCTGTTATTGCAATGCGTCCAAGATTTTCATCCACAAGTTATTGACAAAAAAGAACTGATGTATTATGCAATGGCAACAGAGACTACTAACTACAGAAAGAATGAAAGATTAAAGCTCCAGAACTGAAAAATAACTTAGATCACACCAAGAAATGTCAACTAGCAGCATCAGAAGTTAGTGTAGTGAAAATGTGCAACTCAGAAACACCAAAAAAAAAAAAAACAAAAGACGGCCAAGAACATATGAGGATCTTCAACAAAACAAGAGTTGGGGCTACACCTATTAATCTAGAAAATAAGTAAATAACATATTTCCTAAAATCCACCTACTCCATAACTACAAGATACATGTCCATAATGTTCTAGGCTCGCACTTAAACATTCTACCTATTCCTCAACCACAAACCCTTTGCCTTGTTCCATTGCCCACCATAATTCTCTAAAATGGAGAACATTTCCTTTTTATGAATTCATAGAAATACCAACACATTAGCTAAAAATCAAATTCAAATAACCAGCGCTCCACAATCTATCTTCTATAATTCAATCCAAAAAATATCCACAATTCAATAAAAATAGTTCTAGAGCAAATAGACTAATCAAAACCTGTACCGGCAATAGAAATTACAGGTTGCACCCAAGCAGGCCACGCTGGGAATCCCTTGACCTTCGCGACAACCAGATCTTCAAGCAGAGTTTCGAACACCTTCGCGACGTTCGTTCACTTTCTTCTCCTTGGCGCTATGAGAAAGAAGAAACCTCGCCGTAGCAACCGAACACACCTTCGCTCAGGGCACCAAAAAACTCTAAGGCAATGAGAATACAAAGCTCCTATGGCGATGGAGGAGTGATATAGTAGGTTTCTGTATGCGCGAAGCGGCCGCGCGCCATTTTTTACGGCGGCGACGGGATCAAGCAAGCTTTGCGGTCCAAGGAACGAACCCAGGGCCCTATACGTGGAGGACGTGGAGGAGGGCCGGAGAGAGAAGGTTTCGGATTTACCAAACTGTAAGAAGGAACCCACAAAAAAGGTAAATTATTTTATGGATTAATTAAAAAGAAATTAATAAATCTATATATTTAATTTCTGATTTTAACTTCTACAAACTCACCTATTAATTATTCTATGCGGACAGCGCACTAAAAAAAAAAAAAAAAAAAAAAAAAAATCTACTGACATACATTTTTTTTTGTAAATTGAGTGTTTTTATTAGTTCACCTGCGTACGCAATAATTATGTGAAATACGTAAATACATAAAAATTAGGGGTTGTTCATGTAAATTCCCCTAATTTTATATGTTAGATATATAAATACATAAAAATTATTATATAAGCATTTAATATTTTCTAATTAAAAATAATTCATGCCAATAAACTATTTATTCTTGTAGGAATACCTTCCTTTTTTAAAAATAATGAATTTGTTGAAAAAAATAAATATTTTGAAATTTGATTTGTTTTAGATTTAATGTTTTTATTTCTGAAGTTAACATGTAAACATTAATTAGATTTTAATTAATTATTGCTTTAAATATATATTTTTTCGTGCTTTTTTTCTGTTTTGCAAGAACGAATAAATAGCAAGTAGGTTCCCATTTTAAAAAGCATGAGTCTCAACGTCCAAAAAAGAACAATAACATAGCAAGATTTACAAATCTACCACTCAATTCAAATGTATTTGCATATCTAACACAAAAACTTCAATTTTCGCATACATGCCACCATTCCTATGAATATATATATATATATATA